CCGCGCAGGCCGGCACCTCCCCGCCCGTCTGCCCGCCCCGAGGCCCCCGCGGGCCGCACCCGGCAGGGCCCACGCCGCCTCCGGCCGCCGCGGCCCTCACCGCTGTCGCCGATGATGAGCAGCTTGAAGAGGTGGTCGTAGTCCCGGGCCATGGCGGGCGGGGGAGGCGCGCGCGGGCGGGCGGGGTCGGTGCTGGCCTCGCGATCCGCAGCTCCCTCCGGGCTGCTCCGGCAGCGGCGGATCCACTTCCCGAACAAACAGCCGGAACTGACAGAAACACCTCCCTCCGCTCCCCCTCCTCCTCCTCCTTCTCTTCAGCAGCTTCCACCGCCGCTACCGCCGCCGCCGCCGCCTCCCTCCTTCCCGCCCCGCCCCGTCACTGCGCAGGCGCAGCGTCTGGCACCGCCTGTGCGCAGCCGCAGCCACGGCCAGCCGCGCCCTCTCCGCGGTCACGCAACGCGCATGCGCCCTGGCAGAGTACCCCCCCGGCGCGGGCCTGCTTGTTCAGTGTCTCCTTGGTGAACGCCGCCCCGGCCGCCGCCCTCAGCCCTACGGGCTTGGAGTGCGGAGCTGCTGTCGAACCCTAACTGAAAGAAGCCGAGAGTGCCAGAGAAGCCCGGCTGTGGCCTGGGTCGGACTCGCTCCTTCATCTTCAAGCCCCGCAAGTGATGCAGAGAGGAAGACTGGCGCGCAGTGACCGTGGGGCGTGGCTTACTCCGAACTCCCGCTTCCTCGAGGCCAGGGACTCGGACACTCCGCCCCGTTTCTGCATCGACGCCGCCCCCGGGGTGCTGGCTCGGGTCCCCACACTGTGTCCCGGGCCTGTGGACAGGACGCCGATGCGGCTGGTGCCTGCGGAGTTTTACTGAAAGGGAATCGGCTGCCAGAGCTTAGCGTGTTAGGAGCGGCCTTTGTGGTCAGCACTGGATCGAAATCACAGCCTAGCTCTGTGATCTCTTGGAGCCTGAGTTGCCTTCTTAGTAAAATAGTACGATTCAGAATCCCGTCCAACTTGACGCTGAGCCTGGGAGATTGATGACCCAGTGTGTAAGATGCACCTCGGAGACCGAAAGCAGCAGCCCCTTGGGCTTCAACTTTACACCACCTGCAGATGCACAGCTCAGAGTCGTGTGGTTAGTAACCAAGACGTGGGCCGTCAGAATTTAAGCGGTCTTCGCTTTATCATCATCAGCCTGTTTTTGTTTGCTTTTCCAGTTTTAGAGTAAGTTCTCACCTGCCCTAAAAAGTAGGATGCTCCTACTACCATCCTCATACTAATTGCAGAGATCTTTAAGTTCCTTATAAGTTCTTTATAGCCCTGTCCCTTTCCAGTCAAGTACCTGTTGGATAGTTCTACTTTATCAAACTTCTTTTTGTAAATCTTGACTTGATCAAAAAAATAATGCTCGTTTTTGTTTTAGTTTTTTTAATAGACAGAAGCTTACCAAAAAGTACAAGTTATATTTTTCCTTCAGACTCACTCCTCACAGGTAACCTGTTGGTAAGTCTCTTGGATACTTTAAAATGCTTAACAAATATATGCTGAGTGAATAAGTGTCCTTAAGTGAGTTTTCTGTGCCTATGCAAACACATATATGTATGTAGTTTGCCTTTCCTCTTTAATATACATTTTACTAACAGCTGCATGGTGTGGTACTCTCTATGGCTGTAATAATTTAACCACTCTGCTCTTGATAGGCATTCATGTTGTTTATAATTTTTTCTTATAACAATGTTTCAGAGAAGATCCTTCAACAGCACATGGAGTGTCTGACTCAAGCTTTGAGTTGCTTTTCCAGGAGCTGAGAATCAGTGTCAAAAGAACATGGGCTTGGAATCCCACTTAGCTGGGAGAGGAGCTGCTCATATGATCATTTAAAAATGGTCATTCTTGGTCAGGGAAAGGTTAATGGGATCTCCTTTGATCCAGCTATTTTATTTAGGAAATAAATAGAAGTGAAGAAGAAAGCCTCATTGTAGCCACTAGGCAAGCACACTCAACCCTCCCCCTCATCTCAACCTGCTCTGGAGTCAGCGACTTCGGTTCAAATGCTAGCTTTGAAATCCTTTTGAAAATCCTTTTGAAAAGCTTTGAGATTTGGGATAAGTCATGTCACAATGTCTGAGAGCCCCTGTTTTCGGCACAGGATAATTGTAAGGATTAGAGATAGGTTTATATTATAAATCACCTGGCATACATATAGGCCTACCTCGTTTTGCTGTGCTTCGCAGATACTGAGCTTTTTACAAATGGAAAGCAAGATATTCCACTAGCAAAAGGATTACGACTCCCTGAAGGCTCGAATGATAGCATTTTTTTAGTAATAAAGTACTTTTTAATTAAGATATGTACATTTTTTAGATATAATGCTATTGCATTCTTAATAGACTACAGCATTGTGTAAACATAACTTTTGGATGCACTGAGAAACCAAAAAAATTGTGACTCGCTTTATTGCAATATGCACTTTATCGCAGTGGTCTGGAACCGAACCCACAGTATATCCAAGGTATGGCTTGTATAGGCATGTGATAAACAGTAACTAACACTGTTAACCAAGGTCATTCTGCACTGACTCATACTTTCAGCCATTTCTGATTATAGACTCCAGCACACATTTCTAAGGCACCTGCCTGATATCAGGGCTGCAGGGTACTTGTGAGAAGCAGGGCAGAACTGGCCATTGTGAAGATCAGATCCTGACTTGCCTGCATGTGTCTTCTGGAAAGCAATAGCCATTGACTCCTTTATTTCTTTAATAACTCTTCAATGAGTGCTTATTATTTGTTATATGCCACAGATTGTAGAATAGAGCCTTTTCCCTCCAGGAGCTTACAGTCTTATCAGAATGAGACATACTCATGAGGAATTAAAAATACAAGAAAAAGGGCCGGCTGAGAGGCTCAGTTGGTTAAGAGCTTGCTCAAGAGTTTGAGCTCTGAGCAACAGCGGTTCCATTCCTGACCCGAGCTGAGCAGCCACTGAGCTGCCAACAGGTAGCAGGATGGCTCAGCTTAAAAATATATATATGAGAAAAAAAAATACAAGCTAATATGATAAAAAAAAATAGCTGTCAGATAAGCAGTCTAGACTTCTGAAGAGGAACGCTTTCATTTTTAGCTAAAATGATGGGGAAGCGATTTCATCCTAAAAGTTTCATGATGGAAATGGAATAGAGTTTTGAATGACAAGTGTATTTAGACAGCCACTGTCACAGCCTGTGAGAAGCATCAGTTTTGGCTTTGAGGGGGAATTCCCTATGGGCCAGGATATGTGTCTGACTTCCCAAAAATTAAACTCTGAGCACATTTCCTGTCGAAACACTATTTTACATTTATTTTAACTGCAATTCAGTGACTGAAGCTATGTTATGGTAGGTAGGTAGGTAGGTAGGTAGGTAGGTAGGTAGATAGTTTATAGACATAAACTTTTGTGACCTGAGGTAAGATTCATTCAGTATGTGCTACTGTTAGGAAACTTGGTCTCAGTGTTCTGAACAGCCAACTTACAGATGCACTTTTGCAACACCACCTTTTATACATTAGAAACGACACTGGGGACAGGACACTGAAAGTTTTTGAGCGCAGGAGCAATATCAGAATATTATTTTAGGAAAGTAATCAGTGCAAGCCTGCAGGATGGATTTCAGCTGCTTTAAAGGAGGTTATTGCTGAAGCCCAGGTGTGAGGTAACAGCAGGAAGGGACAGATGCAGAAGACGATGTGCAAACAGTATCGCCCAAAGCAGCATTAAAAAAAAAAAAAAATCACGTACCTTACCTGGCAGCTGAATTCAATCGCTAATTTAGTAAATACTTGTGTGCCTACTAGGTGCCAGGCACTGAGGTTGTAACACAAGCAAAACAAAGTCCCATCCTCTTTCAATCTTCAACAAATAATCAGGGTTCACTGTGTGCCAGACACTAGTGTATAGCAGCTAGAGATTTAGCAGTGAACGAAACTGTAAAATCCCTGCTTTTGTTGAGCTTATGTTCTAGTAGAGAATGCAAAAGAATGTTTCTGAAGAGAAAACTAAAGGAGAGAGAAGTGTGCAGTTATTTACAGGAACAGTGACACTACAGAGGGGGTGAGTATGTACTATTCATTCAAGAAGTTTGGCAGTGAATGAAAAGAGAAGAATGGTTGGTGGTAGAAACAGACTCATAGATACAGAGAACAAACTGATGGTTGCCAGGTGGGAGGGGCTTGGAGGGCTGGGTGAGAAAGGGGAAGGGATTAGGACGTACAAATTGGTAGACACAAAATAGTCATGGGGATGTGAAATACAGTATGGGGAATATAGTCAATGTAAAAACTATGGTGTCAAATGGGTACTAGGCTTATCTGGGGGACCACTTCATAAATTATATAAATGCCTAACCACTGCACTGGATATCTGAAACAAATATAAAATATTGAATGTCAACTATAATTAAAATATACCATATATATATACACATATATAGTCGGGATGTTAAGTACAGCATAGGGAATATAGTCAATGGTATTGTAATGTATGGTGTCAGAAGGGTAGTATAGTAAGTAGACTTGGGGTTATCACTTGGAGGGGGGTGTAAATGTCTAATCATTATGTTGTTTTGTACACCTGAAACTAGTAATAAAAAAAAATAGAAAAAGTGGTTGGTGGTCAGAACAGTGGGGTTGAATGAAATGATTTTCAGGATAGCAGAAGCAGAGGATTAGAAGGCAGCGGATAGTAAGGGCTGAGCAGTGAGCAATGAAGAGGGTTTAAGGGAACTTTAAAGAGCTTAACTGGCAAAGAGGCGAGTCGAGAAAGTGCGGTGTCACCAATGGGGAGGCTAAGAGGGAACAGAGAGGGAACCTCAAGCCTGAGGCCTTGAAGACAGAGCCAGTAGGCAGGGCCTCCAGGATAGCAGGAGGGGTGAAGGTTAGTGCAGCGGAGGCCTGGAGGGGCCTGTGAAATCCAGATTTCAGACTGGTCAGCAGCGATGGATTCTAAAGCTGCTGAGATAGGTGGCAAGGGAGGGTGCACATGCAATCATATAAGGTCGACGTGGGTGTAAATAAGAATTTAGAGAAGGCAGGGAAACTGAATGTCAGGGGCTTTAAATGAAGAGTCAAGATGGGGCACCATCCAACATGCTCGTCCAAGAGGGAAGAAATGGAAGAAACCGCATCTGGTCTCTCCCTTTGATGAAACTGGATATTGGCCCTTTATCCCACACCTGCATGCCTGATGCCATACCAGGAGACTTGACAATGGCCTTGTCCTGCCCTTAGGTAGCCCCCCAAATCAAATGGACATTATGTACCTGATTACAGGAACCATCCTAGTATCCTCTGGGGACCTAACACATGGTAGGGACTTGGTGTCTGTTGAATTAAAGTGAAGCCACACATCGAATTTAAAGAGCTAGAAGGAATATCAGAAATAATCTAGTTGAATTCTCTCTTGAGTTTGCTTTATGTGGGATGTGGGCCAAACTTGGGGTCTCTCATTATAACTCAGGCTCACCCCCCCCACACACACACACACACATACACACACTCCCAGCAAACTCTTAAGTAGGATTTTAGTCCCTTCAACCTTTTAGATTCGATCGGTGGTTCTCCAGGTGTGGTCTGGGGCTCCCGGGTCTAAGACCCTTTCAAAGGATCAGTGAAGTCAAAACATTTCATGATACTGAGATGTTATTTGCCTTTTCCACTTACGACTGTACAGTGTTTTCCAGAGCCCACGCGACATGTGATATCACAACAGACTGACTGCAGAAGCAGACATTAGAGAGACTTCCAAAAATGTAAAACATTGCCACTGTCCTCACTAAAATGGTTTTTGTTTTAGAAGACCTAGATTTGTTATGGTTATTTGTACTAACGTGTAATGGATTTACTCTTTTTAAATCAATTAATAAAACTTTTAAAGTTGACCAGTTTTGATGTCTAAGATGGTAAATATCGACAGGTAAGATACGTATAAGCAAGAGTTCTTTAGGGTCTTCAATAATTTTTCCAAGTGTAAAGGGGTCCTGAGGCCAAAATATTTGAGAAATGCTGGATTCTGCTACACCCCAGCTTCCCGCCTCCCTTTTTTATGGGAATCTAAATGGTTAAGAAGGATTTATTGTAACTTATGACCAGGCTGCTACCTCAACCAGAGGAATCTCTCAAGTAGCAACTGAAAGTGACTGGTACATTCCATGCGGGCACACTCAGGAAAGTCTCACCCAGAAATCCCACTGAGGTAATAATCCTTGGACCAGTTTTTCCAGTTTCCTAGGCTTCCTTGTCATCCACACTATCCTACCCCAGCAGGCTGCAGGGAACCTTGCCCACAGAACCAAGGGTGGCTCGGAACCACCCAGAGAAAGAATTGGGCTCTACCTCTTCCTAAGAGAAACCCACTCACTCCAGAGCCACGTGCCAAGAACTTGACTAGTTTCGTTAAACTTACCTTCCAAAATTATTTTTATAGCTAGAAATATGGTGGGGTTTTTTTTTTCAGTTCTGCAACCAACAGGCTACATGACTTTAGATACCTTCCATCTGTACCTGACCTTTACTCCTCAGGAAGTAAGGACCAGCTCCCACCAGTGCGCCGGAAGCCCTGTCGAAGGTGCTTCCCTGCCCAGGCAGTGAGGACCCGTGTGCTTACACACCTCTCAGTTTTTGATGGTCAAACATGGTAATCATCACTCAAGAGAAACCTTATTTTAAGTTAGTGTTTCAAACTTCAGGCTTGAAAAGTCAATACATCCGCAAATTCTCAACCCAGCAATTGCCTGAGTCTGAGAGGACTGTCCTTGTGACACAGGGTAAGCGGTGCCGAGTGTTCAGTCTCTCTTCACTGACAGACACCTGACTCTGCTCACATCAGCCACTGATGAGCACCTCTGGGGTACCTGGCCTTGTGCTGTGCGTTATCTCATTCCCTCCAGACAAGCCTGTGTAACTGCACTATCACTGTACAGCTGAGAGCCTGTGGGCTCAGAGGTTAAGGAACGAACATACTCGGGGTCACCCAGCTTTATACTAAGCAGTCAAGTTCAAGTTCCAACCCGACTTCCAAGTCCGGGCGGCTCCACTACAGCACACTACCCTAGAACTTAAAACTGCCATCTGCATTTCCTGAAAAATATTTAGATCTTTAAGTTAGGCTGTTTCCTGTTTCTTCCTATTGTTCTAATACAGAAAGGCTTAAGGCAATTTAAGACCCGTCCACACTGAACCATACTTAGAAGAAAAACATTCCTAAATGCCAATCTTGTTTCAAAATCTGCTCTCAGTAAAACGTCTCCAAGTCCTAGCAAATAAGTGTCTCTCCGCAGGTTCCTTACCATCTTCCGGACTCTGTGGCTTCACAGCAGGGGGACAGAGGGAACTTACCTGTAGGTTTGGTTCCTGGAAGGAGTGTGAACCATGTCATCCTCTCCCACATTTTAAAATAATCTTGACCCTCAGGATTCCAGAGGTTCTGAGTCAGTTGAAAGACTGAGAAGAATGCTGTTTCGTTCTCCTTGTATTAGCTAAGGGCACATCATCTTGTCACTGCCTTTCAGGACAGGGCAGGGAAAAGATGGGCGAGACTCCTCTCTAGAGAATCACCGAAAGTCTGAGAGAATCAATGTCTTTTTGAAAAGACTTTCCCAGCAAGTGTCCTGTAAGTGGGGTGAGGTATTGATCAGGCCACAGAGCAGCTGGGTAGGACCTGGGTGGGGACAGCCCTGGGCCAGTCACTGGGAGCCACCTGAGCTTTTGCCTAGCTTGCTGTACCTGGATCTTTGTTACCTGTGTGCCAGGATGTGAAAGGTCTGGAGGCATTGCGGGAAAGAAGGAGAAATGCTTGCGCCTACCTGGCCAGCACAGAAGGAAGAGAAAAGCTAGTCTGAGATCTGGGCACAGATAGTCATTTATCAGCCATGTGACCCTGGGCGTGTGATTTCT